AGAACAGAATATGTGATAAATATCATGCGTAGCATTCCACATCAAAAATTCTTGATTGTTCCATGCTATTAAAGTATCATTCTTGGATGTTTTATACTCATTTACTAGCAACTTTATATCATTTTTTGGGACTAAGCTATTGACATAGTGCCTAGCGCCAGTTGCTGTTGTTTGTTTGTTTTTTACTACGTAGAAAATCAATACCAAAGGGAGTCCAAATGCCAAGAAACTTTTTGGAGAATTTTTTTCTGCCCAGAAGACACACAGGAGGCCCAAGATGTGCACCAGAGAGGCCCTATGGGGCACACTAGGCACCAGGGCGCGCCAGGGCCCCCAGGCGCACCCCGGTGCGTAGTGGGGCCCACATGCACCCCCTCCACCGCCTCTCAGCTCTATAAATACTCTAATATTCTAAAAACCCTAGGGGAGTCGATGAATCACAATTCCAGCCGCTGCAAGTTCCAGAACCAGAGATCCAATCTAGAGGCCTTCTTCGACACTCTGCCGGAGGGGTCAATGGTTACGGAGGGGTCCTTCATCAACACCCTTGCCCCTCCGATGATGCATGCGTAGTTTACCACAAAAATACGGGTTTGTAGGCAGTAGCTAGATGGCCTCTTCTCTCTTTTTGATCTTCAATACAATGTTCTCCTCGATGTTCTTGGAGATCCATTTGATGTAATGACTTTTTGCGGTGTGTTTGTTGTGATCCGATGAATTGCGAGTTTATGATCAAATCTATCTATGCATATTATTTGAGTCTTTATTGAACTCTCTTATGCATGATTGTTATAGCCTCGTATTTCTTTTCCGAAACTTTGGTTTGGTTTGGCCAACTAGATTGATTTTTCTTGCCATGGGAAGAGATGCTTTGTGATGGGTTCGATCTTGCGGTGCTCAATCTCAGTGACAGAAGGAGACATGACACGCATGTATCAATGCCATTAAGGATAAAAGGATGGGGTCTATTCCTACATGAATAGATCTTGTCTACATCATGTCATCGTTCTTATTGCATTACTCTATTTTTCCAAGAACTTAATACACTAGATGCATGCTGGATAGCGCTCGATGTGTGGAGTAATAGTAGTAGATGCAGGCAGGAGTCGGTCTACTAATCTTGGGCATGATGCCTATATACATGATCATTGCCTTGGATATCGTCATAATTATTTGCTCTTCTATCAATTGCCCAACAGTAATTTGGTTACCCACCGTATGCTATTTTCCTGAGAGAAGCCTCTAGTGATATCTATGGCCCCCGGGTTTATTTCCTATCATATTGTATTTAGATCTATTATTCCAAAACTCAAAAATACCTTGCTGCAGTTTTTCTTTACTTATTTTATTTTGTGTTTGTGCTAGATCTATTTATCCAATTTCATACAATTTAATCTATCTCAATACCGAGGAGGGATTGACAACCCCTCTTACGCGTTGGGTTGCAAGTTTTTGTGGTTTGTGTGAAGGTGTTATTTACATAGTGTTGCTTGGTTTTCCTACTGGATTGATAACCTTGATTTCATAACTGAGGGAAATACTTACCGATGATGTGCTACATCATCCTCTCCTCTTCGGGGAATTACCAACGCAGAAACAAGCAATCGTAACTCAATGAATCTTGATCAAAGTAACTAGGTTAATACTAAATTGAAGCTCAAGCCCGTAACTCAATGAATCTTGTTGTTGTGAATGTTTCCTATCATACTAATCCTTGGTGCACTGGTTATTCAAATTTTATTGTTTCTAAGTATATGTATATCCCTCCTAAATTCACTTATTAACAAAAGAGAAGATTCCTCTAGGATTTGAGAACATATTTTTTGAGATGATCCATATCTATATAAAAAAGTAGTAGATGGTATTATTAGATGTTGTATTCCAAAACATGAGCAGGAATAAATATTAAGGAAGTGTCACTCCAGTCCTTATGGATGACATCATGCTAGAGACAGAACTCTACACAAGGTATTGCAATTTTGTTGTTATTGGCCTAATTTTTTTAAGGCTGGTCGTAAGCTTATTCTCTCTTGTGATGAATGTCAAAGAATTGGTAATGTTGATAGACGCTAGGAAATGTCAATGAATTATTCTCTTGTCATTTAACCTTTTGATGTCTGGCATTTTGATTATATGGGTCCTTTTTCAACCTCAAATGACTATAGACATATGTTACTTGCTGCCGATTATTGTGGGTAGAAGCTACATGTAATACAACTACCTTGCCTTAGCACAATTAAGGAATGATCCACTTGGTGCACCGTTGCAACTCTTGTTACTATTTACTTTCTTGCAATTACTCTTGCTTTCAAACAATCATAAAACACTCTTTGTAGCTTTTATAGTGATCGTTGCTAGTTTCCGCAAACCAATTACTTTTGCTCCCTGTTGGGTTCGAAACTCTTACTTATCAAAAAGGCTATGATAGAGCACCTATACTTGTGGGATATCAACAATAGCCTCCAAGAACCAGTACAAGCAGTTACAATTTGCAACCACCATGAGAACAAAAATAACCACGGGCACTGATTTATTGCAAACAACTTTGATCAGCTTGGTCACATCTGCTCTCGTGGCATGCTGCTAATGCCCATTTTTATACTAGTGATTGCGCCCTCGACGAGGTCTGTTTACCCAACCTCTGGCG